ACAAGTTTTTACACTTTTACTTAAGTTCTTGTAAACATATCGATAGTCTGCAAAGACACGATATTTCTAAAACAACTTGAAGGGGTTGCAGAGAACAGCCTTGTTTTTTGACCATGGTGCAAGGAATAAGGTGATTTAAACTGCAGTTGGTACTATCGCAATAATGTTACCATATCTAAATCGCTAACGAACACTTTTGGGGTGAAGGCCTTTTTGCACATTTGCCGCCATGCTCACTCTCGGCGACCAATCAGCTTTGGCTCAATTTCGTCCAATCGAGACACGGGCGAGAGTGGGTTAGGCAACAGAAGGGTAAAAAAGTTTTGTCCTCTTCGCTTTGACATTTTATTGATCATATCTTCGATAAGCATTTTATTGGGTTAAAAGAGATACTTACGTTAACAAAAATTTGCTAAGACATGAGAAAAAATGTTATTTTGACGCGCTTGTGTGTCATGGATCTTTGAAAAGGTTTTGTTTTAATGCTTACCCATTCACAGCAAAAAGGGATTAAACTCAAAAAAGAAGGTAAGCAAGAGATTTTGAATTTGAATAGTGTCCCTAATGGGGGAAGTGCAGAATTGGGCCAGAGTGATAATTACAAAGATACCTTAGATATCAGTTTGAATTTAATATTTACTTTTTCTTCTGTGCATTCCGTTATATCTCGGCTAATCAAAAAATTTTCAAAATTGTCATATCTTTCCGAAGTGTACATCAAATTAGTAATATTAAGGCTTAAATCCCAACATTGCTATCGCCAAGACTCATATCATTTGAATTTAGCTCAACTATGAATTTTTTTTCATTTGGAATATTCATTTTTCAGGCCAAATCGTCTTCAGCCGGTCTCGGTCTCTGATCTTCCCGTCTTCACTTTATTCCCCGCCACCGCGTGTGCGAGTGACCGCCGCTGTTGAGCGTCGTTGTCGCTGCGACACACGTGTTCTAGCCTATACCATATCGCCGCCCGTCCTTTCGCGCGTCGCTACTAGCGTCGCGTGTCGCCCAGTCGCCGTCGTAGCCGAATCGCTTCTACCACCACCACTACCGTGCAACTGGTCATCACCTGAAGAGATAGCACGCCGAGTCGGCTTCAATCGTCACATACCACCCTAACTCGACTAAACAGATAGTTAGGGTAAGTAAAAACACTCAATTGAGAGCTTACTTTGTTGACTTCTTAGCATTTTCCACCCCTATTTGGAAAATTGCTGTTGGGATACAATAGGATTGTGGTATACTGTAAAAACTATAGGACGACTTGAAAGTAGCGATATCATCGGCATTTTTCACCGAATGCACTACCAATTACTATTAGAATATGGTGGCATTCATTCTTTTCGGTTTAAATACATAGCGAGACTGTCCGAGAGGACCGTTAGAATTAGTTACATCTGAATCTGTTATTCTCATCGATAAGAATAAAAGTACATCAAATACGAAAATTTTTTAGTAGAACAGCATGACGCTACCGCAGAAATCAATTAATATTTGTGATTAGATCTTCATTGCTGCGCGAAGCCTGTAATGTACAATTGCGACCACTGTGTCTTTACCATAGTCCTATCGTATCCGTGCAGCAAGATTCTATGGTGCTGCCGTTAATTTCCTTGTTAAATGTCTAAAAGTCAACAAAAAAGATTTTAAACGGTGATTTGAATTAA